CTGAGGTGTGAGCATGTTAGGAGTGCCTCTCAGAAAGCAGGGAAGGTCAGAGGCAGATGGCAGGGGCTGGGGTGGGGAGACGGAGTCTGTGCTTCTTTGCCCCACCCCCCGCCTCCGTTTGGTGCCCTGTTCTTCATCCTGCCTGGCCACAAGTGGAGAAGAAAGGCTGTCAATACTGAAAGGCCCCAAGCTGGGTCTAGCAGGAGTGGTCACACACTGAGGGCAGGACAGGAGGTGGGCCAGGATCTCAGAAAGGAATAGTCAATCAATGCCACTGTTCCCAGAGGTGGCGATGGCTGGGCTTAGGGGACATCGTCTCTCACAGCAGCACCTGGCAAGCTTTCTACGTCTGGCGGGGAGAGAGGGTAGCGGTCCCCCACTATGGGAGCCAGGTAAGAACTCATTAGGTAGCACCTTTCAATCCCTCCTTGTTCAGAGGCCCAGAGAGCTCAGGTGTCTCTCCCAAGGTCACACTTTGAGCTAAGGGTAAATTTGGAACTAAAATCGGGACTCCCTGACCTTCTGATGTCCACTGGCCTCAGTCCCGGTGGGCACACTTGCTCACCTCCTGCCCGGGTCTCTGACTTCAGGAGAGCAGAGCGGGGCGGCGTCAGAGCCTCCCGCGCCCCAGCGCATCGCTCCCTTCCCCGCCCCTCGGGATCCTTTAAGAGGCGGGGCTTGACTGCCAGCTCCACGGCCCGGGCAAAAGGCTGGGACTTTACTCCCGGTGGCCGGTGGCGGCGAGGACGAGTCTGTTCTCCATCAGCTGCCGCAGACGCTGCCTCCCGCCCCAAAACCCCATCCCAGCGGTTGAGCCACGATGAGCGGCAGAGTTGGCGATCTGAGCCCCAAGCAAAAGGAGGCATTGGCCAAGGTGAGCCCTCGCTCTGGCCCGGGCTCCCGCCCGGGGCTGTGGCCCTCGTCCTCCTGCGGCAGCGAGAAGGGACGAGGCTGGGTGGGGGCCGAGGGTCCGTGGCGGGCGGCCGGGGGAGCAGAGGCGGCCGCCCCAGCGTGGCCCGCGCCCGCGGACGGCTCCTTCCTCCCTCTGCCACCCTCAGGGTCCCAGGAAGTTTGGCCACCCCCCGCCCAAGTCCCGAGCAGCTGTGGCAGTGCCACCTGGGAAGGAGTGGTTGCTTGGTAGTCCCTGGAGGCCGCTGAGGGCACAAAGACAACATTCATCTTCGGGACTGGCAGCCCGGCCCTGGGGCAGGGGCAGGGGCAGGGGCAGGGCCCCAAGTTTCCTCCCATTTCCGGGAGGCTTTCCTCTTGCCGGGGCAGTGGCATGATGGAAAGGGACCTGGATAGCTCCTTGGGAGACTTGGATAGCTCCTGCCCCCACAACAAGCCGCTGTGCGACCTTGGGCAAAACCCTGTCCTTCTCTTTGCACCTTGATGCCATGGAATGAGGAGGTTGGACCAGATGATGTTGAAGGGAACACCTCCATGTGTGAATTCCAGGTTCCCCCCATGACGCACTGGGTTGGAGTTAGTTTGAGCTGAGACCAGCCGTCCCCATCTTGCATCCCAGACCCCTTCCTGGCTCAGGACTTAGGTTTATGTTCCTCAGAAGGCAAGATGGTGAGCTTGGCTTTGCCTTGGCACCTTGGACCAGGAGAGAGCAATAGTTTGAGGGCTGAACCCTCCTCTTCACCTACTAAATCTCTTCTCTGTCACCCCTGGGGAGTGAGGAGTTCAACTCTTCTCTGGACAAGAGCCAGTTGGGTCTGGCCTCAAGGTTTGGAGGCTCCACAGCTGGGAAGTTTTCCATGGCTGGGAAAGGTGCGGGGGGTGGGTAGAAGTCTCCTGCCACTGGGGAAGTAGGAGGGCACCAGCTCCATGAAGGCTTTGTCCCAGGCTGGGCCTCCGCGATCCCAGGAAGGCTGGACAAGGAGGCTTCAGATTTTACTGCTGACCCGCAGGAGAGGTCAGGCAGAGAAGGGATTAGGTGGTGATTAAACTGGAGACCAGGGGCTGGTTAGGGTCCTTGGAGAGGGGTAGCTTCAAGCCTGCAGTTTGGAGGAGCAGTTTCCCTGGAGCACTGGGAGCTGCTCTGGGGGGTGGGATGGTCTGAGTCCCTGGCAGACCTAGGCAAGGGCAGAGGTGGCCAGTCCTCATTGGTCTCCTCTGGGACTGCCCTGTAGGTCAGTGGCCAGGGAAGTGTGAATGGCTGGGAGCGGGAGGCTCAGGGAGGGCATATGGGGGCCTGCTCACCTACCAGGGAGTGAGAAGTTGGAAATGGATGTGGCTGTCCCTTGAGGTCACTGTCCACCTCTTTTGTTTGACACTACCTGCACTTTCCTGATTCCTCCCACTAGAACCGTTCTCTCCACCTGTGTTGCCTTCCTTCCTTCTGCTACCCTTGAAGTCCTTCAAGGCCAGCACTAATGCCATGCTTTATAGGAAGTGCATGAGACCACCTTTTTCTTCCCTCTGCTCCCCAGTAAACTCCTCACCATTCCACCGGGCAGAGAGCCATGGTGGAGAGTGTGTGCTCCGGATTCAGACAGACCCCACTTTGCATCCCAGCTCTGCTAATGACTAGCTGTTTGACTTTGGACATGCTACTTAGCCTCTCTGAGCTTTAACTCCTTCATCTGTAGAATGGGGACAATAATACTTCTAGGGGTTATGAGGAGTAAATAAGCTGTGGTGCCAAGATCAGCGCTGGGTGACAGGGAATGCTTTGTAAACTGACAGCTTTTACTGTGGTAAAAGTAATGCCAGAGTGCCTACTATCACGATGAGCTGGGGACACATCTGTCTGACCCAGACTGGCATGTGGAAACCTTTGTTGTGGGGCAGGGGCAGAGTCTCACTCCCTTCCCACTTCCTGCCCTGTTACCTGGCACCCCCTGGCAAAAGAGTGCTCCAGGTAGTGTCTGCAGAGTTCAGCCATGTTCAAGAGAGATCCAGCAAAGGCCCCAGTGGAGGGTCCTGGGCAGAGGGCAGTCAGGGTAGGCCCTACCACTCACCTGGATGCCTCTCCCTACAGTTTCGGGAGAATGTCCAGGACGTCCTGCCAGCCTTGCCGAATCCAGATGACTATTTTCTCCTGCGTTGGCTCCGAGGTGAGGGAAGAGGGGCTACGGGAGGCTGGGGCAGGGGCTTGTTCTGAGTAACAGAATGGCACCCTCTGAAAACCCTGCCCCTGGCAATCAGGGCATCTGGAATGTTCAATCTTTAATGTCAAAGGGTCCTTGGCAATGACATAAGCTCAACCCTCCTAGTGGATAAAGACACTGAGGCTCAGAGAGATGAAGTGACTTGCTCCAAGCCACACAGTGAGTGAGCTGCAGCAGAGAAAAGGGGAGATTCCAGGTCGGCTGACCCTTGGCCCACAGCCTTTTCCATCCACTCAAGAAATCTGCTCTGCTGATGGAGTTGGGGAAATGGGCTGAGGAAAAACAAAGCGAGAAAGGCCACAGCCATGTGGGTGGTCGGAGGCAGGGCGAAGTGCAGAACCAGCCCCTGATATGCTCTGTTAGGAGGGCAGGTCCCCGCTGACCGCAGTTTAGGCAACCTGAAGGCCTCAGCCTGACCTAGGGTGACAAGAGTCTCCTCAAACCACCACCAGGCTCTAGAGCCCAGGTCCTGGTTCTAGCTCTGCCCTGGCCTGGCTGTGGAGCCTGGTTCAGGGCAAACACTTCCCTAGGATCCTCCTCTGGAAGGGCAGGAAAAGACCTGTCTGCTCTAAGACATGACATAACAGAGCTCTGTGTGTGGCACTGAAATGTACACATTTCTGCTGGCATCAGGGTCAAGTTCAGCCCCATTCCCCAATCCCTGAGATGTTTCCATTCTTTCCCCTCTTCTCTTCTCCTGTGATTCAGGTCATGTGCCACCCTCCCTGGTTCTTCTGACACCATTTTCCCCCTCTATATAGAAACTTTAATTACAGACATAGGAATAATAAAGAAAATTCCACTATGGCCAGGAACGGTGGCTCACACCTGTAATCCCAGCACTTTGGGAGGCTGAGGCAGGTGGATCACTTGAAGCCAGGACTTCAAGATCAGCCTGGGCAACATGGTGAAACTCCATGTATACTAAAAAATACAAAAATTAGCTGGGCATGGTGGCGGGTGCCTGTAATCCCAGCTACTCAGGAAGCTGAGGTAGGAGTATCGCTTGAACCCGGGAGGTGGAGGTTGCAGTGAGTTGAGATTGTGAGACTGCACACCAGCCTGGGTGACAGAGTAAGACTCCATCTCAAAATGAAACAACAAAAAAGTAACTTTATTTATTTATTTTTTTAGAGACCAGGGTTTCACCATGTTGACCAGGCTGGTCTCAAACTCCTGACCTCAAGTGATCTGCCTACCTCAGCCTCCCAAAGTGCTTGAATTATAGGTGTGAGCCACTACACCTGGTCAGAACATTCCATTATGTTCTAGCAAAGCTTAAGTTGTGGTGTAGAATCATATCCTAAAATATGAAAGTACAATTTATGCCCTATTATTTTAATTTTCATTATTATTATTTTTTTGAGACACGGTCTAACTCTGCTTCCCAGGCAGTGGGCATGATCGTGCTCACTGCTGCTTTGAACTCCTGGTCTCAAGTGATATTTTTATTTATTTATTTTGAAATGCAGTCTCACGCCGTTGCCCAGGCTGGAGTGCAATGGCGCGATCTCAGCTCACTGCAACCTCTGCCTCCCAGGTTCAAGCGATTCTTCTGCCTCACCCTCCCGAGTAGCTGGGATTACAGGCTCCTGCACCATGATCTGCTAAGTTTTGTATTTTGAGTAGAGATGGGGTTTCACCATGTTGGCCAGGCTGGCCTTGAATTCCTGACCTCAGGTGATCCACCCACCTCGGCCTCCCAAAGTGCTGGGATTACACGCATGAGCCACCGTGCTCGGCAATAAATGTTACTAAAATTTATTTTTGAAATAGGGTCTTGCTGGCCTCAAACTCCTGGGATCAAGTGATCCTTTCACCTCAGGCTCCCGAATAGCTTGGACTACAGGTACACACCATTGTGACTGGTCCTGTTATTTCTTTATGGACACATACACACACGTGCATGCCCTAGGAGTCTTGGAGCAGGTGAAGAGATGTATATTCCTTTTCTTTCCAGAAATTTCATAGAGCTGACACACATGCTCCTGAGAGGCGGCTTGTAAACACCTGAGGGCAGATGCATCCAGGAGCCTCTGGAAGTGTCACTTACCCCTTTCCCCAAAAATACCTCCATCCCATTCCCCTATCCCAGCCCACCGCCCAGAGAGGGTAGAAGGGCAGCATGGGGGCGGCAGTGGAATCAGTTCAGGCTGGAGGAAATTTTGGCCCAGCATTTGCTGAAGGACTGCAGCTAGAAGCAGGTGGGTGGAGAGAGTGGGAAGACAGTAGCCTTCTTAAAGGGCCAGCTGCAAAATGATCCAGACGACTAGGGAGCTGCTGTTCCGCAGAGAAGCATGGTTTCTGAGAGCCATTAACAGCAATGCAGTTCTCTCTTACTGAAGCAGGGGCCAGCCAAGGGTCCTGGCAGCTGATCTCCCAATTCCTGGGGAGCCTCATACTCAGGGGTCATTCAAAGAGTGTGGTCATTCTCATTTGCCAGATGAGAAAACAGGCTCAAAGAGGGGAGTTGGGAAGGGGACTTACCTGAAGTCACACAGTTAATGTGTAGCAGAATCAGGGCAGAAACCTAGGGCTCCAGACTCCAGGCCAGCATCATTTCCAGTAAGCACCCCTGCTCCTTAAAGCCAGGCTCAGCCTCTTACAACAGAGGAAGTGTCTCCTCTGCATTTCACTTGTGCCTCACATTTCCTGGGCAGGAGCTCAGGCCTGGTCAGAGCCTAACATGAATTACAATTAGTTTTTCTTTTCCCCTTAAAAAAAAAAACCAAACCCAAACAACAACAAAACCCAAGTCCTGGCATGGTGGCTTATGCCTGTAATCTGAGCACTTTGAGAGGCCAAGTGGATCACCTGAGCTCAGGAGTTCAATACCAGCCTTGGCAATATAGCAAGACCCTGCCTCTACTTAAAAAAAAAAAATTAGCCGGGTGTGGTGGCACGCACCTGTAGTCCTAGCTATTCGGGAGCCAGAGGTGGGAGGTTGCTTAAGCCAGTAGTTTGAGACCATAGTGAGCTATAATCTTGCCACCGCATTCCAACCTGGGTGACAGAGCAAGATTCTGTCTCAAACAAAACCAACCAACCAACCAACCAGCCTTTTAGCATTCTCTCCTTGAATCTGACGGAGACATTTGCAAGCCACACACCAGCAGAATGTCTGTCCGTATCCTAGGGGTGGGCTTGGGGTTTCTCTCCCTCCCTCTTTCCCCAAGGAGGAGTTCAGTTTTCTGCGGGCTTCCAGGCACAGAGAGCAGGTCCCCGTCTCATCTGCCTCCCCCTGACTGGGGCTGAGCTCTGGGCATCCCAGCAAGGAGGATCGGAGAGCAGGATAAAAGAAGGAAGTGGTGTAAGCCTTGGGAGGGAGGCAGAGCAGGTCTGAGTCTCTGCATTTTACAAGTCTAGGGAATGAATGGACAATCACCACCCAGGCGGCTGCCCCTGAGCTGAGTTCTTGCAGTGCCACAAGCCATGCTTCGAGTGGCCCCTGACCAGGGCAGCAGGAGCCTGGAGAGGCCTCAAACAGGTATGGGAGGCCCCAGGTGTGGTACTGCCAGGAGCAAGTGGCAACTCTGGGAGAGCCCACATAGAAGATGCTGGATGTTGGGCCTTGGCAGATAAGGGTTAACTGGAGAGCCTCCCCAAGATAAGAGGCTCACAGTTCACCACCACTCCTAGGAAGATAAGGACTCTTCTCATAGTAATGATGTCCTTCCTATGGAAGATTCTCGTCATGGTCCCACGAACTCCCCCATCATGAGGATGGTGCCTTGCATCTTCCAAGTGTTTCTAGCTTATCAGACAATTTGGTCAGAGATGTGCATTATCTTGTCTAAGGTCAAACAGAGAAGTGGAAGAGCTGGGATGCAAATGCAGATGATATTCCTCTAAAAGCTGTCTCATGCTGCTGTGGCAACACATGAAGAAGGGTGGGATTCAGTTCTGCTAGGATGTGTCCAGCACTTGTGATGGGTGTGGCACTGGTCAAATCTGTTGAGGCAGCCTATAAGCCCGGGAGAAGGGACTGATTTTCATAACAGCAGAGTCAGGGAATGTGCTCGGCACTCCCAGAGAACGATGGTTAAGGGACCAGGGACGGTCCAGAGGGCAGCCTGTCTGGCCCAGGTTCCAGGGCTGTCAGCAGATCTAGATGCCAAATCTACAGAGGACACAGAACTGGGAGGGACAGTTCATAGGTCAGATGGCAAAATCGATCAGAATCCGGATCTCAAAAACTTAAAGGATGGATTGTGGAAATTTGACAGGGAAGGATCTAAGGTCTCACCTCTCCACGTATGCAATGGAGGCAGTGGCACAGGTGAAAAGGATTTGGAGGGTTCAGTGTCTATAAGCTCCACCTGAGTTAGGAGTAGGCCTGTTGCTAAGAAGGTTTTTGGGCTGAGCACAGTGGCTCATGTCTGTAATCCCAGCACTTTGGGAGGCCAAGGTAGGTGGATTACCTGAGGTCAGGAGTTTGAGACCAGCCTGGCCAATGTGGTGAAACCTCGTCTCTACTAATTAGCCGGGTATGGTGGTGTGTGCCTGTAATCCCAGCTACTCAGGAGGCTGAGGCAGGAGAATCGCTTGAACCCGGGAGGTGGAGGCTGCAGTGAGTCGAGATTGTGCCATTGCACTCCAGGCTGGGTGACAGAAGTGAAACTATGAGTCAAAATAAATAAATAAATAAATAAATAAATACAGACAGCACTTGGGGCTATATTCGTGGCTCTTAGAGCACACTCTGAGGGAACCCTGGAAAACATTCACAGGGAAGTTATTTGCATGGACTTGAAACCAAGTTGTGGTGCTTGGTATAGGCTCCAAGGATGGGCAGCATGCTGGTCAGGGAAATGCAGGGTGACAGCTCAGAATTTTCCTGTCTTGGAAGTGTTGTCATGTGGCTAAGAAGACAATCCTATTCTCTGAGTGCCTCTGAAATGAATATCAGTTCAGTACCATGACAGCTGAGTGCAAATTGCAGCTATGATTACCTGGGAGCAAGTGGCCTTGGGGATCAGTGAGTTATTTGTGTTCAAGCCTGAACAGGATACTTTTTGGGGTGTCATGCATAAAGAGTTGACCCAGGTGAAATTGAATTCTGAAACTTGTCAGGAGCCCTGGGAGGGGATGTGTGAGCCCTTTGAGGACATGACAAGGTTGGGTGGAGGCTCATCGACCCCTCTATCCCACTGGTATATTCTGCCAGCTCTGCCACAGATTGCAGGGGCAGCTATATTCATCCTTGTTTTTTGTTTTTCTTGAGACGGGGTCTTGCTCTGTCACCCAGGCTGGAGTACAGTGGTGTGATCTCAGCTCACTGCAACCTCTGCCTCCCAGGCTCAAGCAATCCTCCCACCACTTCAGCCTCCCAAGTAGCTGGGACTACAGGTGCATGCCACCATCTGTGGCTTTTTCTCTTTTTTTTTTTTTTTTAGAGATGAGGTCTCACTGTATTGCCCAGGCTGGTATGTTCATCTTTGAACTGTGGTATCAAGGTCTCAGGACTGCATGTGAGAATGTGGAGGAGATAAACTTTGTCTGTGTAAGGGGGAAGGCCAAATGATAAGAGGGTTCAGGGTTCATTTTCGCTGAAAGGAGGTGAGACCTTTAACTTGATTATAACCAATGGGGTAAAGCTCTTTTGACCCTGGTGTTATAATGGCTGCCCCAACTGCCCTGAACCTTGACCTGCTCTCCACACAAACCTGGGGTCTGTGGTGCCCCAGTTCTCAGTAAAGGCTCTCCTGTTAGCTTCTGCTTGTGGGAAGGTGTGAGGGTTAGCTGGAGAGATGACTGAGAGGAACTGGCCCTATCATGGGAATATGGGAATCTCTCCATCCTTGGACCCCCAGTCCTGTTAACCTAATCCTGACCATGTTTCCTTGTTACAGCGAGAAGCTTCGACCTGCAGAAGGCGGAGGCTATGCTCCGGAAGGTGAGATACATTTGGCTCCGAATCCCACTGTTGCCTCAGTTCCTCCCCTTCAGAATCGCACCTTGCGTTGACATCTTTTGCCACACCTCCCACCCCGATCACAGCTTTTGGCTTTGAGTATTAGCCGACCACTGTTGCCTTATCCCTCTGGGACAAACTGCATTCCCTTCCCTGGCAACATCGGCTTTCATAGTTCTGGGCCAGCCAAGAATGATAATCTCTTCTGCTAAGACCTCTAACACAGGCAGGGCCTTCTTTTCCATTCCTGCCCAATGCTTTCTGGTGACTGCCTATGATCTGGTGGTCCATTCACGCTGTTGCTTATTGCTACATGCCTATTAAACCTCCCTCACACCATCCCTGTTTTTTTTTTTTTGTTTTTTTTTGTTTTTTTTTGAGACAGAGTCTCCCTTTGTCACCCAGGCTGGACTGCAGCGGTGGCGCGGTATCAACCCACTGCAACCTCCACCTTCCGTGTTCAAGTGAGCTCATGCCTCAGCCATGGAGTAGCTGGTATTACAGGCATGTGCCACCATGGCCGGCTAATTTTCATATTTTAGTAGAGACAGGGTATTGCCATGTTGGCCAGACTGGTCTCGAACTCCCAGCCTCAAGTGATCCACCTGCCTTGGCCTCTCAAAGTGCTGGGATTACAGGTATGAACCACCATGCCCAGCTGTCCATCCCTCCTTTAAAATCTTCCCCATTGTGTCTTTGTAGCATGTGGAGTTCCGAAAGCAAAAGGACATTGACAACATCATTAGCTGGCAGCCTCCAGAGGTGAGCACAAATTATCCTACCTCATCCCTATGCTAGGTCTTTCAGACCCACAGCCTGGCTCCTGGGATCTGGGTCCACTGAGTTTGGATCCTCAGAGGAAAGGTCTGACAATGCCCACTGAGCCCTGGTGGTCTCCATTCGAATGGGCATCTGTTGGTACCCAGGGGAGGATATAGAGAAAGATACTGATGAACCTGGAGTAAGGCCCTGTGCTCCAGGCAGGGTATGGATGCCTTCTGACCAGGCCGCTCCTCTGTGTCTTTGACCAGGTGATCCAACAGTATCTGTCAGGGGGCATGTGTGGCTATGACCTGGATGGCTGCCCAGTCTGGTATGACATAATTGGACCTCTGGATGCCAAGGGTCTGCTGTTCTCAGCCTCCAAACAGGATCTGCTCAGGACCAAGATGCGGGACTGTGAGCTGCTTTTGCAGGAGTGTGCCCGCCAGACTACGAAGGTGAGTGGACCACTGTGGCTAAAAATGAACTGACCACAACAGAGGCATTCCAGCAGAAGTAGGCACGTCATGCAGGAATATAAGTGCAGCTTCAGGGCCAAGGCCTAGACTTTAAAAACTTAAAAAAATTTTTTTAGTAGAGATGGGGTTTCACCATGTTGGCCAGGCTGGTCTTGAACTCCTGACCTCAAGTGATCTGCCCACCTCGGCCTCCCAAAGTGCTAGGATTACAGGCATGAGCCACAGGACCCAGCTGAGGCCCAGACTTTGGGATTTCCTAGACCAATGACATTTCCAAATTTTAGAATATTGCCAAATGTCTATTTTGCCACGTAAGGCCTTTAAAACAATGATCATCTATTATTGCCATCATTAACACCCAAAACTATAAGAATGGCAATAATCTCAGATTAAAAAGCAGTCCTTAGGAGGCTGCAGTGAGCTGAGATCATGCTACTGCACTCTGGCCTCAGTGACAGAGTGAGACTCCATCATCTTAAAAAATAAAAATAAAAAAAGCAGACCTTTAAAAAACTCAAATTATTGTTATTTTTCTCTTTTATCTGGGGACCCAGTGAAATGTTATTGTGGACCAACCCATCCTTGAGCAAGTGTCTGGGTATCACTGGTGAAGATGATCTCAGAATCTGAGCTTCTCTAATTCTGTATCCAAAAAAAGATAAGGATGGCTGGGTATGGCAGCTCACCTGTAATCCCAGCACTTTGGGAGGCTGAGTGGGCAGACTGAGCCCAGGAGTTTAAGACCAGCCTGGCCAAAATGGCAAGAGGCTGTCTCTAGAAAAAAATAAAAATAAAAAATTAGCTGTGTATAGTGGCTCATACCAGCTACTAGGGAGGCTGAGGTGGGGGATCACTTGCACTTGGGAGGTAGAGGTTGCAGTGAGCCATGATCACACCACTGCACTCCAGCCTGGGCAACAGGGCTAGACCCTGTGTCAAAAAAGATGAGGTTAGCTGATTCCCTTACTGAGAAAAACACTGAAGAACAAGCAGAAGCTGCCACCACGGTTTTCCCTCCTGCCCTCCTCTCAGCAGTTGTAAAGATCCAGTGAAATGATGTGATAAAGTCTGGGAACATCCCAACACTCATCTGCAAACGTTCAGAGAGCCTACTGTGCGCAGAGACCCTGGGGAGCTGGGGATGCAGGAGGCATTAGATGTGGATGCACCCCTGAGGGCTGAGGCTGCACAGAACATCTGTGCCTGTGCGTGAGTGGCTCTACAGTTACCACGCACAGAGCACACAGTGACTCAGGAAGCAGGAGGCCATCAGGCCAAACTGCAGAACAAAAGCCATCTCAGTTGTCATCTAGATCCACCCAGTCATGTACTGGAAAAGAACACGGAGACCTAGGCAGGAAGAGTGACTTGCCTAGGCCACAAATCTGGCTTGGGGTGATTATCTCAATTTGGAAAACCCTAGATCCAGCCCTAACAAGCTCTGGTTGCTCTACTGGAGCACAGTGCAGTCATTCGCCCCGGACCGGGTGGGGTTCTGCAGTAGGACAGCCTGACAAGACTTTTTGCTCTGTTCCCTGCAGTTGGGGAAGAAGGTGGAGACCATCACCATGATTTATGACTGCGAGGGGCTTGGCCTCAAGCACCTCTGGAAGCCTGCTGTGGAGGCCTATGGAGAGGTGAGAGGCAGAGTGGGGAGGAGGGGGTCAGAGGGAAGGGAAGGAGGAGTGGGCCCCTCTGCTAGGCTGTCCTGCGGGATGAGTGAGGCCTTGGGGGCAGACTCTAGTCTAGAGGAAGCAGGGCCTCTGTCCCTGGGACAGAGGTTTGAGCCTGCTGGAATCAAGAGTGATTTTGTTTCCACAGTTTCTCTGCATGTTTGAGGAAAATTATCCCGAAACACTGAGGCGTCTTTTTGTTGTTAAAGGTAAGCTGGGAATTTCTTGTGATAAAGCCAGATGGAAAAGAGGGGTAAAAAATATGACTGGGGCAGATGGAGGGTCAAACAGTGAGCCAAAAGCAGGGTCTACGGACATGTTCAGAAAATTGCTGCCCCGGCTACTGTGCTGGCTCATGCCTGTGACCCTAGCACTTTGGGAGGCCAAGGTGGGCGGATGAACTGAAGTCGGGAGTTTGAGACCAGCCTGACCAACATGGTGAAACCCCCATCTCTACTAAAAATACAAAACTAGCCGGGTGTGGTGGCACATGCCTGTAATCCCAGCTACTTGGGAGGCTGAAGCAGGAGAACTGCTTGAACCCAAGAGGAGGAGTTTGCAGTAAGCCAGGATTGTGCCATTGCACTCCAGCCTGGGCAACAAGAGCAAAACTCCATCTCAAAAAAGAAAAAAAAGTTGAGGAAATGAGCTGGGTGTGGTGGTGCATGCCTATAGTTCCAGTTTCTCAAAAGGCTGAGGCAAGAGCATTGCTTGAACCCAGGAGTTCAAGGCTGCAGTGAGCTATGATTGTGCCACACTGCACTCCAGCCTGGGTGACAGAGCAAGTCTCCATCTCAAAAAAGTAAAAATAAAATAAAAACAAAAATAGGGCTGCGCATAGTGGCTCACTCCTGTAATCCCAGCACTTTGGGAGGCCGAGATGGGCAGACCACTTGAGGCCAGGAGTTCAAGACCAGCCTGGCTAACAAAGCAAAACTCCTTCTCTACTAAAAATATGAAAATTAGCTGGGCGTGATGGTGCACACCAGTAGTCCCAGCTACTCAGGTGGCTGAGCCACAAGAATTGCTTCAATGTGGGGGGTGGAGGATGCAGTAAGCCGAGAGCTCACTGAGGCTGTGGCAAGAGCATTTCTTGAGCCCCGGAGTTCAAGTCTGTGGTGAGCTTAGATTGTGCCACTGCACTGCAGCCTGGGTGACAGAGCAAGACTCTGTCTCAATAAAATAAAAAGAAGACTATCCTTCACATATGCAGACTACTTTACAACTCACAGAACTTTCAGTATGACTTCGTTTGAGCCACCCAGCCTGATGAGATAGGAAGAGATCATTTGACTATATCCACTGTACAAATGGGATGGCAGGAGCTCAAAGATGCCCATGCTGAGCTGCACACCCTGGCCTGCTTATGTGGGCTCCACAGCCCTAGGGAACATATGGCCCAGCATGGGCTGGTGGGAGGGTAGGAGGTGCTACAGAGGACGCTGTTAGGGACAGACTGGGCACTGCTCCCAGCCTCACATTATCTGGTCTTTGTCCCAGCCCCCAAACTGTTTCCTGTGGCCTATAACCTCATCAAACCCTTCCTGAGTGAGGACACCCGTAAGAAGATCATGGTCCTGGGAGGTAAGTGGTCCAGGCTTTTCTCAACTCCAAAGGATGGTCTGTAGCCCAAATTGGGTCCAGCTTTAGAAGTATGGCCATAGCCATCAGGGTGAAAGCTCCCTCTGCTAGTTTGGGAGTAGTGGGACTTAGGAGCAAGCTGGGGCAGAGCTAGTGCTTTCATCTGTTTTCCTAAGAACTCTTTCTCTCAGACACTCTAGAAGCAAGTACTGGGTCCATTATTATAGATTCAAAGATGAATGAAACTCCAGTCCTTGCCCTTAAGGAACTTATAGTATAATAGGAGACAGAACACCTAGAAAGAGAGGCTGGGTGTGGTGGCTCGTGCCTGTAATCCCAACACTGGGAGGCTGAGGTAGGAGGATCACTTGAGGCCAGGAGTTCAAGACCAGCCTGAGCAACAAAGCAAGACCCTGTCTTTACTAAAAAATGAAAAATAGCTGGCCATAGTGGCATGCATCTGTAGTCCTAGCTATTGGAGAGGCTTAGACAGGAGGATCCCTTGAGCCCAGGAGTTCAAGGCTGTAGTGAGCTATGATCATGCCACTGCACTCTAGCCTGGGCAACAGAGCAAGACCCTGGTTTTTTGTTTTTGTTTTTGTTTTTTATAAAAGACCTAGAGATACAGAGAAAAAAAATTAAAAAACAAACCTAGAGAGAGCGAGCTATGACATAAACTAGAAAAGATAGAAGAATAGTCACAGAGAGGGTGCCACAGAGGTCGCAGGAGCAAAGTTGCTTTTAGTTGGGGAAAACTAGGAGCAGCTTCGTTTGACAAGCACCTAGTATGTGCCAGACCCAGGCTAGTGTTAAGACTATAAAGATGAATAAGACAGAATCCTGGCTGGGTGCTGTGACTCACATCTGTAATCCTAGCACTCTGGGAGGCAGAGGTGGGCAGACTGCTTGAGCTTAGGAGCTCAAGACCAACCTGGCCAGCATGGTGAAACCCTGTCTCTACTAAAAATACAAAAATTAGCTGGGCGTAGTAGCACACACCTGTAATCCCAGCTACTCAGGAGGCTGAGGCAGGAGAATTGCCTCAATCTGGGAGGCGGAGGTTGCAGTGAGTCAAGATCATGCAACTGGCACTCCCGCCTGGGTGACAGAATGAGGCTACCTCTCAATAAAAAAAAAAAAAAAAAAAAGGAAAAAGAAAAAAAGACAGAGTCCTTTGAAGATCTCTTGGCCTCTCTATCAGCATGCTATGGTACATGTATGGAAGGGGAAACCACAAAATGCATGGGAGCACTCAGTGGGAGCACTCACTCCACCTGAGCTAGGCAGGGGGTGATGCCTACCTAAGCCGTGTGCTATGGAATGACTAAGAGTCTGCCAGATGGAGCAAGGCAGGAAGCTGCTTGGCAGAAAGAAGGGCATTGAACAAAGACCTTACACAGCATGGCAGAGGCAGCTGTTACAGAATTGGAGGTAGGGTGTGGCAAGAGATGAGACTGGAGAGGGAGGCAGGTCCCAGGAATCAGGTCCTAGAGAATCCAGGGCAGTTTTAGAAGCTGGGACATGACTCTACAGGCCACTGGGAATCAGAGGAGTTTTCGGCGTGGGAGTACCACAACCAGATTTTAAACTGGTTGTATTAGCAAGATTGCGAAGGATACCAGTTTGTATACTTGCCACAATCCATCCAAGAGGTGTTGCAAGCCTGAATTGGGGCAGTGGCAATAGGTACAGAGGAGAGGATGGATGAAAACTTATTTAGGGCCAGGTGCAGTGGCTCACACCCATAATCCCAAATACTTTGTGTTTGGGAGGCCCAGGTGGGTGGATCGCTTAAGTCCAGGAATTCTAGATCAGCCTGGGAAACATTTGTAGAGATGGTGAAACTCCATCTTTATAGAAAATAAATTAGCCAGATGTGGTGGCGTGTGCCTGTAGTCCCAGCTAGTTGGGAGGGTGATTGGTGCCACTGCACTCCAGCCTGGGCAACAGAGCAAAAACCTATCTAAAAAAAAAAAAAAAAAAAGACTTATTTAGGAAGTAAAACAGCAGAACTCAATTGACTAGATGTAGGAAGTAAGAGAGAAAGAAATCTAGAATGAGCTCCTGGTGTCTGGCAGAGGTGACTGAGAGATGGTGATGCATTTGTTCAACTGGGGAAAACTAAAAGAATAAGCTCAAAAAAGCTTGAAGTTGAGCTTGAGGAGTCTGTGAGATATAAAAATGTTGGGAATACCTGAGTTTGAAGCTTAGGAGAAAACTCTGCTCTGGAGATTTGGGAGTTATCAAATAGCAGCAGCTAAAACCTTGTCAGTACGTAAGATTGCCTATGGAGGAACAGAGGTGGAACCCTGAGGGTCATCCGAGCTCAAGAGCAGGCAGAGAAGGAGGAATCCACCAGGGAGACTGAGAAGAAGTGACTAATGAGGTAGGTAGAGAAGCAAGTCAACAGGGAATGACTATGCAGGGGCAACATCAGGGCACAAGGGAAAGTGTGACCCAAAACCCAGCAAAGAAGACACACAGGCAAGCCAGCTAGGGACAGGCAGTTCAGTTTTGCTGAAGTGGAGGGAGAAAAGGCTAGAAAGGTAGACTGGGCAGCCAGGTGTAGTGGTTCACACCCATAATCCCAGCTACTCAGGAGGCTGAGGCAGGAGGACCACTTGAGCACAAGAGTTTGAGACCAGCCTGGGAGACATAGTGAGACTCTGTTTCAAAAACAGAACAAAAACGTATATTGGGACAGGCTCGTGAAAGGGAGGATGCCGCCTACAGCATTGAACTTGGGGGTGGGGTAGGAAAGAGGGATTCTGAAGGCTTCTCAATGTTCACCTTTTGGTGACACATTAAAAGTGGAGATTTTCCAAATGTGTGCTGGTGAGACCTGGGGAGTGAAGTCATCAGGGAAGTGTGGGACCTCTGGGTTCCAGTCATAGCTCTAGCCAGCAACAAGCTCAAGTTCTGCTTTTTTTTTTTTTTTAATTTAGGTCCCTACAAAAGTATTCTTTTTTTTTTTTTTTTTTTTTTTTGAGGGTGTCTTGCTCTGTCGCTCAGGCTGGAGTGTAGTCGTGTGATCACAGCTCACTGCAGCCTCAACCTCCCGGGCTCAAATGATCCTCCCACCTCAGTTTCCTGAGCAGCAGGGACTAGAGCCACACACCAGCCTAAATTTTTATTTTTTATACAGACGGGATCTCACTGTTGCCCAGGTCAGTCTCAAAGTCCTGGGCTCAAGCAGTCCTGCGTCGGCCTCCCAAAGCACTGGGATTACAGGAATGAGCCACTGCGCCCAGCCAGCTCCATGCTTTTTGTTGCCTCAGTTACTCTCTCTGTGAGATGGGAAGAATCCTCCTGGCTTATCCCAACTCTCCAGCTGGCCTGGGGGAAGAACTATAAAATCTGAGCAAGAGGTTTTCATCATTTTTGTTTTTTCTGCTGCTACCACCCACCATGGGCATGAGACGGTTTGGTTTCCTGGCAGCAGAGCTGTGTAGGAGGTTCAGTCTGTTCCCCTACCCACACCTAAAACTCTTTCAACCAAACCTGCCTCAGGCTGGGAAGGTGCAGGATCTTCAACAGAGAGGGGACATTCACTTGGGCTGGTCACTGGAGCTTGGCAGTGCAGATTAAATCACCCCAAGAAAAACAGACAGTGTTCCCCGGAGTTGCATGGTCTTTGGTCCCTAAAACTCTGAAGGCTGGCAGACTCTGGACAGTTTCTGTGGGTTTCCAGCCAGCATGCCACTGGCTTGCACCCCAGAGCCTGGAGCTGCTGCCTACATATGTTCGACATAGTAGGCAGGTTTTCGTATCAAAATATTGTTCCTGGCTGATATTTATGAATTTGCACTGGTGGACAAGTGGTTTTAGCACTGGCTGTGCTAGAGTCAAACTCTCCTAGACAGGAAAGAGCTTGGCTAAAAAAAATAAAAAATAAACAAAAAAGAGCCAAATCACTGGTGGCTCAACAGCTGAAAACATCAGGAGCAGAAGTTAAATGGTGGCTGGGGTAAAGCCAAGGAATCCATTTAAGGGGTGACCCTAGAGAAATACATTTATTTATGAAGTCATGACTTAGCTGTAGGGGAAGGTGGGGGAAAGACACACAGTTCTGCCCTCACAAGGTTCAGTCTCATCAGGACAGGGTATGTGCATTCAGGCCTTCTGCCCACCACACAAGCTGTTCCCTCTGCATGGAATGCCCTTCTCCCCTTTCTTTGTCCCCATTCCTGCTGTGCTTCAATGTATCACCTCCCTGGGGTAATAACATACTCTTCTGTGTGTAAGGCACTTCATGGTTTAAAAAGCCCTCTCGGCCAGACATGGTGACTCAGGCCTGTAATACCAGCACTTTGGGAGGCTGAGGTAGATCATCTGAAGTCAGGAGTTCGAGACCAGCCTGGCCAACATGGTGAAGCGCTGTCTCTACTAAAAATACAAAAAACTAGCTGGGCGTGGTGGCGGGTGCCTATAGTCCCAGGTACTTGGGAGCCAGTTACTTGGGAGGCTCAGGCAGAACTGCTTGAACCTGGGAGGCAGAGATTGCAGTGAGCCGAGGTCGTGCCACTGCACTACAGCCTGGGCAACAGGGTGAGATTCTGTCTCAATAAAAAAAAAAAAAAAGCTCCCTCAAGTACTTAGTTCTTTTCACTCCTACCATAACCAGGAGGGGCAAGAATAAAGTCACTTAGCTGTTCGGACACAATGAGAACAGGAACCAGGATCTCCTCCTGATTCCTGGCCTGGGACAGAGCATCCTCTGGCTCCTACTGAATCCCCTACAGTACTCCTAATGCAGGAATTTGAGGCGGGCTGGTGGGGAGTGTGGTGCATGGGCTTTTTTCCGCCTCTTTAGTGTAGACCACCAGGGTTATGGTGAAATCTTACCTAGCGTTGAGATACATCTTTATCCTTCCTTCCCTCTCCTGCCAGCAAATTGGAAGGAGGTTTTACTGAGACATATCAGCCCTGACCAGGTGCCTGTGGAGTATGGGGGCACCATGACTGACCCTGACGGAAATCCCAAGTGCAAATCCAAGGTATGGGCCACCAGAGGCTGGAGGTGAACAGGGATACCTGGCTCAAATGCACATTCCAGTTTACTCCATGCCATGCTTCTAGATCAACTATGGGGGTGACATCCCTAAGAAGTATTATGTTCGAGACCAGCTGAAACAGCAGTATGAACACAGCGTGCAGATTTCCCGTGGCTCCTCCCACCAAGTGGAGTATGAGATCCTCTTTCCTGGCTGTGTCCTCAGGTAGGGGCCTGGGCCCTTCCAGGAGACCTGAGCTTTCATCTATAGGTCCTGATGGGTGGGCTGGGGTAGGACAAGCCCTGGTTCCAGGAACCCAGGAGGGTACATGCAGACAGAATTATGTCTAAACTGGTGATGTCCCCTGCAGGTGGCAGTTTATGTCAGATGGAGCAGATGTTGGTTTTGGGATTTTCCTGAAGACCAAGATGGGGGAGAGGCAGCGGGCAGGGGAGATGACAGAGGTACTGCCCAACCAGAGGTACAACTCCCATCTGGTCCCTGAAGATGGGACCCTCACCTGCAGTGACCCTGGCATCTGTAAGTATCTCTGCCTTGGCAATACCTTGAAGCCCTATGTCCAGCTTTCTGCCTGTGAGGATCCTCTTCCTCCATGGATTTTTGGTTCTCAGAGTGTTAGAACTAGAAGTGGGATGCCATCAGATCAACCCTCTTCTTGCCTAGATGAAGAAACCTAGGCTTGGAGAGGTGAAATGACTTGTTTATGGTGGCCCAGCTGGTTAGCAGCAGGGTGGGACTTTGACCTCATACTCCCAGGTATGGGTGAGTCATAGTCCTAGGCCATCACAGGGGTTCAACACTTCTGATTTCTGGTCCAGGTCTAACTGGGTCTGTGACTGGCCAGGTATTTCTTGGGGATGCTCCTACCCAGAGGTCACAGAGGCAGAACTGGCTGGGTGAGCATGGGATTGCAAGGTAAGCGAAGTGCTCAAAAGTCCATCCTTCACCTGAGTTTCACTCATCTCCAGGCTGACCAAGGAACGAACACAGATTATGAACAGGCAGTTTACACAAGAATATAAGAATGGGGACAGCTGCGGTGGCTCATGCTTGTAATTCCAGCACTTTGGGAGGCCGAGGCAGGTGCATCACAAGGTCAGGAGATGGAGACCATCCTGGCTAACACAGTGAAACCTGGTCTCTACTAAAGATACAAAAAATTAGCCAGGCATGGTGGCACGTGCTTGTAGTCCCAGCTACTTGGGAGGCTGAGGCGAGAGAATCACTTGAACCTGGGAGGTGGAGGTTGTAGTGAGCCCAGAGCGTGCCACCACACTCCAAAAAAAAAAAAAAAAAAAGAATGGCAAACAGACATTGGAAAAGGTGCTTAACCTCTCTTAACTTTGTAATATTCATTAAAATTCCCCTTGACTCAGCAATTCTACTTCTGAAAATTTATCCTACAGAAATACACAAAGATATAGGAACAAGGATGTTTCTAGCAGCCTGGGAAACTGGCAGTAAACCATATGACCATAATAAGGTCTGTTAAGTAAATTACAGTCCATCCATACAATGTTAAAGAGAATAAACTGACATGTAAGATGTCTGAGACATGTTAAGCATGAAACACAGCATGTATGGTATGTACTCACTTTGGTTAAAGAAGTGTGTACACAGAAAAGAATTCTGGAGAATCTATGCTAACTCTAAAAGTGGTTATCTATGGGGTGACAGGATGTTTATGGAGAGCTTTCATTTTTACAGTATTTCTGCAAATATATTTTATGATGACTATGTATTAATTTTACATTTATAAGCAGAAAGCCATACTTACACCCTCCTCAACATCCACAATCAATTCTCCAGTTACTTTTTGTCAGAGCCAATGGAAAATCATTGACAGCAAAGGCTTTATTGTCAGAGCTGAGCTGGACTTGACTAAAGACTAGCTGCATGGCCTTAGGCAAATGACAAAACCTAATCTTCAGTTTCCTGACTGCTACACTGGGGATATCTCACAGGGATACTGGATGATTCAATGTGATAAGTTCTGTGAGGCGCTTAGCATAATGCCTGGCATAGAGCAAGCACTCAATGCACTGTAGTCACCACTATTATAAGGACAAAGCGTGTGGGAGAAGGGTCATCCTGGAGACAATGCTGGGAGATGGGAGAAGCCCTGTGCCCCATTTCTATGGCAGTACCAGCACCACCAGAAGATCTGAACTAGCCCCATAGATGTCTCGGCCTCTGTGCTTGTCCACACTGTCACCCAACCTGAGATTTTGCCTCCTTCCTCACATCCCAGGCATCCTTCATCTCCACCATCCCCTCCTCACAGATGCTCTGTAGTACAACATAGCTCCCTGGGGAGGGGGGAGTATTCTTATTAATGAGCAGCTGGGTCCTGGGGGAGAAGGCGTATACTGTGCGCTTCAGCAAGACCAAGGCTTAGCACAGGCCAGACAATGTCGCCCACAGAGGAGAAAGCACTTCATATATATAAGCTTGAATTTTTTGTCTGTTTCTTTGTTTTAGCAGAGATGAGGTATCGCTGTGTTGCCCAGGCTGGAGTCTCGAACTCCTGGGCTCAAGCAACCCTCCCACCTTGGCCTCCCAAAGTGCTGAGATTACCAGCATGAGTCTCCATGCCCAGCCTTGAATTTTTTTTTAACGGATGGGGAAGCTGAGGTATAGAGAAGGGATGTTATCTCTCCTATAAAGTAGCTTGTGTAAACATCAAGACAGAAGACACAAGAGAATCCTAGAGTCCTGATTCAGAACCTTTTGGGCATTGACTGTCCTTGATGTGACAGAGTGGAATCCCAGACCAGGGAAGTAATTTACTAAAGGTCACAAAGCCAGTAGGAGAGCCCCAAACCTTTCTCTAGCATCCACCCATTACCACTTCATCTTCTCTTTAGTATCCGAAGGACACTGCCCAAGAAGGGAACATGAACCTTTTAACATAATCAGGCTTCAGCTTGCAAACCCCCAAATTTATTTTAGCTCCTTCTGTATACATTCTCATACAGAACCATTACCTGCCTGCAGGGCCTTGTCTGGGATCTGCTCCTTGCCCATTCCCAAGAAGAGCAGAGTCAGGCCACAGGACCCATTCCCCCTTCCCAGGTATAAAGACAATGAAGTAGGAAGCAGCTGTTACCTGGCGCCACAGCTAAGGTTAGATGTGAACCCAGAGAACCCAGTATTAGCTTGCAAGCTCACCTGCGGGAGGGCAATGACCTTGGAGAACCAGGAGACCCCTGGAAAGTGGAACAGTGGAAATTAAAACTGTGCCAGCCTCCAATGGCAAGAATACATTAACCTTCCCCAGGCTTCTCTGGTCCTTATCCCAGGAAACTAAATTATCAGGGAGGAGAACAAAAGTTTGAATTGATTTCACTTTTGTGTTCTCATCGAATATTTACCAAGGGCCTACTGAGTATAGAATACGCAACTATGAATGAAAAGATTCCGAAGGAAAGACCTGGACTTTGTCCACTAGAAGTGCACAATGTGGTCAGAAGACTGGAAACACTGTAGGAAGGGTCAGCAGTGCTGGTGAAAAGAGCCCAGCCAGGCACCAGGAGACCTGGTTTCTGAGTCCAGCTTTGCCAATAACTCTCCCAGTGTTTTCAGCAAGTGTCTCTATTAGGTTTGGTTTTCCTTCTCCTTAAAATAGCAGAAGAGATGAATGGGCGTGGTGGCTCATGCCTGTAATGCCAGCATTTTGGGAGGTCAAGGCACGTGGATCACTTGAGGCCAGGAGTTTGAGACCAGCCTGGCAAACATGGCAAATCCCTTCTCTACTAAAAAATACAGAAATAAGCCAGGTGTGGTGGCACGTGTGATGATCCCAGCTACTTGGCATGAGAACTGCTCGAAGCCAGGAGGCGGAGGTTATAGTGAGCCAAAATTACACCACTGCACTCCAGCCTGGGCGACAGAGAGAGACTCTTAATCTGGGGTTCCCCAGAGCATTGGTGCTAAATCCTAAAGACCCAAACACTTCCTCTTTACAACAAATAGTGTCTAAAATGTCCCCTTTACTATTCTGAAGTGAAATTCAAAATACAGAAATTCTGATTATAATCCGAAAATATAACCCATCCTACCTCCACACATAATTTAAAAATCAACATAATCTCCTACTGTAATAGAAAAGAGATATACAAGGGAACTAATTTAAAACATATATTTTTTCAATACATAAATGAGGGTAAGGTTGTAGCTTTCCCATTGGGAACCACAGCCCCAGAGGGTCTACAATGGGCTCCAGGAAATCTAAGATTGTGTGCTTTCCTCAGATTCTCCAGGGGGTCAGTTACCCAACTAAAGTTAAGGAGCCTTAGCCTGGAGGGTCTCTAGGGGCTCTGTGAGTCCATGATTAGTGTCAAAATGAACCACACAGACTCTGGAGCTGCAGTGACTTCACTTCCCTTGGGCCTGTGACTCTCCATCAACCCCTTTCTTGTTTCTGAGGTCAAGTATCTTGCTAGGCAGCGCCATTATCAACCTAGTACTTGGTCCAAAGAATGCAAAGGACCTCTCCTCCAGCATGGATGATCCTGGTTGCTAAGGCTCTATTATCCAGGACAGAGATGAAGCTTCACTCTTGCCAAAGGAACTATTAGCCCTGAAAGAACTCTAGTACAGAGGAAAAACAGATGACTAACACTTTATACCATGAGGAAAGAGTGGGTGGTGTGTCTACCCTTGGTCTAAACTATGCATTTTGTCCAGAGTCAGGAAAAGGTTAAGTCTTAGGATTAAATACAGGATATTTTTTAATTGCTGGGACTAGTGAGAGAAGATCAGGGTAGGGACGGGGCAGAGCCAGTGTTTTTGTTTTCACACTCAGTTCTCCTGAACGGGTGTTTGGCTGGAATGGAACAACTTCTCAAAGAAACAGGGTTAGATTAAAAGCAGCTTGTTCCTCTGCCAAAGTGTGGAAGCTTTCTCTGCCAAGTGCATGCCCACTTTCTCTTTGAGAAAACCACTGCTAATGTCTATTATTCTATCAGGTATCTTCCATCTAGAAGCTTTATGTTTCCATAACGAGCAGGGCATACAGTGTTCGCTTCGTCAGCAAAAGTACTAAAATTGAAACAATACAGAGATTAGCACAGCCCCTTGTGTGAGGATGACAATCAGATTATCTTAAATAGAAAACAGGACATATACACATACATAATAGGAATTGTCTGCCATTCACTGTATGTTTGAAGAAATTTTGAAACAGTGAAACTCATCACAGGATTTGAGGAAACTTTCCCTTTAGGACAAGTACCAGAGTGGCATCATCAGAGAATCTGGGAGTCGAAACAGATTAAGCAGTAAAGCCAAAAGTATTTTTACATATGTATTTACAAAAATGTTACAAACTGTTTAAAACTGTTCTGTACCTTGCTTTTTTGGCCTCAGGATATACTGTGGACAGTTTCCTGTCACTTCTATGGAGCTAACCTCCTTCTTAAAAAATACATCACTATTCTATCATATGGATTACAGTATAAAATTGTTGAAGCAATTCTTCTTTGATGAACATTTGAGTTTTCCCAATCTCTTATTATCATAAATAGGGATGCAATGAACATCTTTGTCCATTTATCTTTTTGCAGGATAAATTCCTGGTACACAAGGTTTGCACATTTTACCTTTTGTCAGAAACTGAACAGAGACAGGTTTTCCAGGGTCTAAGTCAGGCAGAACAAAGGCAGCAATGTGGACCAGACGGAAACTCCAGTTCTGTCATTTCCTCACTGTGTGGCACAAGAGTCTCACCACCTCCTTTTTATCAGACATAAAAGAGGACTAATGCTGAACTCATAGATATGGGGGGAAGAGTGAGATAACATAGATTACCAACCCAGTGCTGTGACACACAGCTGTTATAATTATTACAACTGGTACTGCTGCTGCTAATTCTCCTCCCTCCTTTCAAAGTCCAGTTCAAGCTCTAACTCCTCTAAAAAGCATTTCACATGATTTCAGTCTACCAGGCCCTCTTCTTCCAAGCTGTACAGATGAGATGGTCTCTGTCACTCATCTGGCACTTGGCATGTTCTGCCTGTTTTTTTCTCTCCATGAATGTCTTGTCAACCCAGCTAGATTAAGTTTCAGAAGGTCAAGGATCACTACCTATGCCACCTTCATCCCCATGACCTGGCACACTGCCTTGCTCAGTCAATAAACATCAACAAAAATCGCTGTCCCCAAGCCCTTTGTCAGAACTGCCTGAATGTCTGGTTTCTGCCTCCCCTTAGATGTCCTGCGGTTTGACAACACCTACAGCTTCATTCATGCCAAGAAGGTCAGTTTCACTGTGGAGGTCCTGCTTCCAGACAAAGCCTCAGAAGAGAAGATGAAACAGCTGGGGACAGGCTCCCCAAAATAACGCCTTCTCCTACAGCAGGCCTGGCCCCCTCAAGTGTCTCCCTGTCAATTTCTACCCCTTGTAGCAGTCATTTTCGCACAACCCTGAAGCCCAAAGAAACTGGGCTGGAGGACAGACCTCAGGCTGGATCTGGGGATCTTTCATTTCAGAGATAGGCAGAGGAAGAGTGACTGAAGTGGGTCTCCTTGACTCTCAAATTCCTAAGGAGTCCCCAGGGGCTGGCTATTCTGATAGAATCTGTCTGTCCTGTAAAGTGTGCCAACTTCACCTGTCCAGGGACAGCAAATATAAGGAGGGGGGTACCACAGGGTGGCAGTAGGGAAAAACATTAGAAAAGGGGGAAAGATTGGGACTTAACACTTCAGGGAAGCCAGCTGCCAGGGAGAAATTTGCTTCTAAATGAACACGTGAGTTTAGATCGAAATGAGGAGTAGCAGAGTAGCTGGTTGCTAGAGTTATGGTGGGGATGAGAGGCTCTTCCAAACTTTTTAGCCTTGAGGCTGGGGTAGCTTTTGGCTTTTCCCAGGTCTCAGGAGGTGGCGTGAGTCAGCACAGATCTTCCCACTCAGGGGTAGACAGGCTGGCTTCTCCCGCACTTTGAGAACTTTGGCAACTCCTGGGCCACACGGCCTGCCTCTTTGACTACTAATGACTGTCAGTGACTCAGAGCTTCCTGGGGCTTCGGGTGCCCATCCGCTGTTCTTCATGCAAACAAAGCACAAGGGAAATGACCCCCAGGGATCACAGCTGCAGGGAGGGTCAGGGAGGTTGGGGGCGGGAGTGAATGCTAAAAGGGGATCTTCCAGTGCCCTTTTCAGTGCTGCCGGCCTCTCACCAAGCAATCCTCCAAGTCAGCAACCCAAAGACAAAAATGCTAAGTGGGATCAAGAGAGCAGCACTCGGAGAGGGTGTTTCCAGTCTGAGCGTCCCGCGGTGCCCGCCAACCCGCTTCCGGACTGACCTGAGCAAGGTCTTGGCAGTCCCATCTCTGTGGGAGGCACACAACGGATGCAGGGAGTTCAGATGCCAGTTGGCGCTGCCAGGCCAGGAGGCCCCCCAAAGGCGGGGCCGGCGTCTCGCACGCCAGGGGCTGGCGGCGGCCAAAGTTGGCCTCGAAACCACAGCCCTTACCCCGACCCCACGCGCCCAGCCAACGAATCCCAGGTGCTGGGCTGCACAGGAACACGGGAAGGCGGCCTCAGACCTGGCGGAAACGTCTTTCCCTCAGGGCCAGGCCCCGTCCCCGCCTGGGAAGCTCATCTTGCGAAGCTGAGGGAGCGCGGAACAGAAGGGGCCGAGGCTGCACTGGCCTCTGCCAGACCGCTCAGAAGGGCTTCCCGGCCTGGGTTTACAGTGCTGTTAAGAAAATTAACCGATGAATAAAGCAACATTCAGTGCGCAAGGAGTGAAATTCAATGCCCACCGCTTACTTCCTCGCTGCCTCTCACTCAAGAGGCCCAAACTTAAGCGGCCTCAAGAGCGCAGCAGCCATCCCACGCCGCTAGGTAGGGCGCAAGCGCAGACACCCTCTTCGGCTCTCTAGAATGAGCTTTCCTATGGGGCCACGCCCAGCTTGCCTTCTGATTGGCCCAGCCGGTGGGTCGGTGGGTGGTGGGTGTGTGTGCGCGCGCGCGCGCGCGCTCTTCCGCCATCTTTGATCAGGGCATGAAGGATGCTCCTGACCGCCTTCACAATGAGGGCGGAGGCCCCGCCCCACCAGCTGCTCAGTACGTGCCGCGTCGCCCGTGCGCGCCAAGTGTGAGTCGGTGCGAGCGCCCGCAGAGCTTGCGGTGGGCCCAGAGTGAGCGGGAGGCGGAGGCGGAGGAGCAGCAATCACGTGGTTTTAGGGACTGTCTAATAATTCCACGCCAGTATTGCGTGTGTTTCAGGGGCTGGGGACCACTGCGTTCCGCACCAACCTTTCTCCCACGAACCAACCACTCGCCCCTTCGGCCCCCGGGCTTGTACGGTTACAAGCCCAACTCCGCTTGAGGTCCCATACTGTCCCATACGGCCCTACAAGACTGAGGCGCCTAGGGCTGAAAGCGGCGGGCCTCAACAGGGAGTCAGTGTTACTCATTTTCCCTACCTTTATTTGATGAGAATAAGAGCTAACTCTTAATGAAGGCTACCGGGTATCACGCAAAAACCCTGTGCTTACTATTAGTCTTCGGGTTGTTGCAAAGATTAAAGGAAATAATCAGTGCCAAGCGCTTAAGAGCTTGGTATAGGTAAGTGCTCGTCAGTGTTGGCTGCTCTCATTTTTTTTTTTGCAGTCGTGGGAACTGGAGTTCAGGAAGGCTAACAGCCAATAGGTGGCACAGCTGGGATTTGAACCCAGGATTGTCTCCAACGCCGCTCAGTTATACAAGCCAGGGAGTCACAGAGACTTAGTGAAGTGCACACATTGCCCACCTGGGTAAACTGAGGTCCAGCAGGGGAAGGTTTCCTCCTGTTGTAATCACTAACCTTGCCCGATTCATTCATTCATTCGTTCACTCAATTCAACAACCTGTCTCCGAGAGGCTCAGTCAGAGGACATACTGATCCAGTTAGATCCGAACGCTTCCCAGATATATATGGCGCCTGCTGAGAAGGGACTGCAGAGTCCAGGCACCCACCTTCCAGGCGCTCACCGTTCACCCCTTTGGCATCATTTACTGAGCTCGTATTAAGAGCATGGGATCTGGATCCACACTGTTTGGATTCAAATCCCGACTTCACCACTTAGCAGCTGTGTGTTCTGGGAAAGTGACCCACCTTCTCTGTGCTTCCATTTTCTAACTTGTAAAACGGGATGCCAGGCTGGTGGGAGGGGTTTAAAGGTGTTAGCCATGAAGAGTTCTTTAGCGAACATCCAGACTGGCAATAAACTCAATAAATGGTGACTGTTATAATTAATCCTCGGAACCATCCTAGGGAGTGGACACTACTGTGTCCCCCCTTTTATTTATTACATTATTATTATTTGTAGACACGAGGTCGCGCTATGTTGCCCAGGCTGCTCTCGAACCCTTGTACTCAAACAATCTTCCCGCCTCCGGCCCTCCAAAGTGTTGGGATCACGGACATGAGCCAACAACGCCCAGCCCGTGTCCCTCCCTCGTTTTTACAAATGAATAAAGAGAGGCTGGAGAAGCAGACTCTTGCCCGAGGTCACCGGCTTTGCAGTGTTGCCTCCCCCGATTTGGTCTCCTGTCTCTTTGGCTCCAAAACCTACAACCAGTCCTGGGAGCGATTCGCGGCAATCGCTCAGAGAAAACGTGACGAAAACCAGTCTGTAAAACTTTAGCCTAGGAGAGGGGCTTCGGTGCGCGGGGGAATTTGCAGACGCTCCCTGCTGGAGGAGATTGCCTGACCTGTCCTTCAGCGCGGGACTTTCGGCGGGTCCCAGCCGGGCCGACCCGAGTGCCTGCGGCGGAGACGGCAGTGGAGCCAGTAACGGCTGCAGTGGCCGTGGCGGGAGAATTATGTCAGAGCCGCAGCCGCGGGGCGCCGAGCGCGATCTCTACCGGGACACGTGGGTGCGATACCTGGGTGAGCGCGAGGCGACCGGCGCCGCGACCCCACCAACACCGGGCTGGGGAAGCAGGGGTCGCCGGACGCCGGCCGGGGCCTGGAGGAGGCGGGAGGATCTTAGTTCTCATTCTGCTTTTGCGCCGGAGACTGATCTCAGACAGGGCTAGGGACTTGTCCAAGGTCACACTGCCCTGGTGGGGCGCCCGGGGTGGAGGATCACACGGGGCGAACGGGCTGCCCGCTCTGGCATGCGCTCTGGCTGGCTGTGGAGTCGGGACCTCCACTCCCATTTCCGTCCTGACACGCGCTGGCTGTGTCTGAACCTGTTTCCTCAGCAAAAAAACAAAAAGCAAAAAACAAACCGGATGCACAGGAGGTCCTCTCTCATTGGGTGGTACTTTCGAGGGTGGAATGGGATAAAGCGCAGAAAAGCCTGGCACTTGGTGAGTGTCCGGCCCTCGATCACTATGCCCCTCTGGGTGCCTGTCACCTCATTAGTGCAGCTACTCCTGGGACTGAGGCCAGGAAATCTAACCAATAAGCAATAGTAACAGTGACTCCGTGCCCAGCCCTCCCTCGGTGGCCCAAGGTCGGAGGTGGGCATCATGGCACCAGTTTACAGTTCGGAAAGGGAGGCTCAGAGAGGTCAAGTCACTTGCCTAAGGTCACCCAGGGAATGCTTAGTTGGCCAGGATGAGAACCAGCCTGCTCCAGCGCCCCCTCGTGGAACAGTTCGTGGGCCTAGGAATTAAATCTTCCCTCCTCCAGGCTATGCCAATGAGGTGGGCGAGGCTTTCCGCTCCCTTGTGCCCGCGGCAGTGGTGTGGCTGAGCTACGGCGTGGCCAGCTCCTACGTGCTGGCGGATGCCATTGACAAAGGCAAGAAGGCTGGAGAGGTGAGTGTTAGCCTATTTTTCAACCCCCACCCCAGCTCTCTTCCTGTGTGGTTCAGTCCACAGCCTTGCATGTGGTAAAGTCCCTGTGGGCCACTCCAGTCCCTACAGACTTGCCCAGTGCAGTCCATAGTCAGTCCTGTTTGTAGGACAGTGTATCCCCAACCCCACACTCCCACTTCCTGGATGCGGCAGACTGTACCCTACTCCTGGGTGTGGACAAATCTATGGGCCCCTCCCAGTCTAGTCTCTTGCTCCTTGTCACAGGATTTCCTGCCTCTGCCCCAGCTAGATTAAGTGTCTCTGCGCCCACCAGGTGCCAAGCCCTGAAGCAGGCCGCAGCGCCAGAGTGACAGTGGCTGTCGTGGACACCTTTGTATGGCAGGCTTTGGCCTCTGTGGCCATTCCAGGCTTCACCATCAACCGCGTGTGTGCCGCCTCTCTCTATGTCCTGGGCACTGCCACCCGCTGGCCCCTGGCTGTCCGCAAGTGGACCACCACCGCGCTTGGGCTGTTGACCATCCCCGTCATTATCCACCCCATTGACAGGTGGGTGCCTTCCTGGCCTCAGGGTTCAACCACGCTCCAGGTAGAGCTAGACTCTATGAGGCGTGGGGCGTGCCCACTTTGCCAGAACAATAGTAGGGACAAGGCTGGCACTTGGCTTCTGGGATAGAAAGGACGGACAGCCTGTACCCTTGTCATATGGTCTGGCAGGTACTTTGGCAATGAAGGAAGAGGGTTGCCTTGAGGGTATGGGACACAGGACAAGTAAATTCCCAGAAAGAAAGCCTAGTGTTACAGAACCACCAGAGGCAGGCAGGAGCAGGTGCACCTGGAAGGGATGCATTTCAGGAGGTATTGGTGACAGAAGCCTAACTCAAACTGAATGGTTGAATAAAATGGAGTAAAAGTCCAGGGTTGTGTTGCATTCAGGCATGGCTGGATCTAGGTACCCAGATGATGTCATTAGGGATCTGGGTCTCCCCATCCTGCTGCCTTTCTCCCCACCCCACCCTATTTCTTGCTGGCTTCACCCGCTTTCTCCTTGTGGGAGCAGAAATGGCCCTAATAGCTCCCGACTTCTATCTCATCAGCTTAGCCTCCCCAGCAGAAGCTTTTAAATAGTAACAACAAAAATCCCAAGGAAGGGTGTCATTGGTTTATCCTGGACTGCCTGCCCACCCCCTGAGCCAGTTTCCCTTTGTTGATTGGCCAAGTTTGGGTTACGTGTTTGGTCTTAGAACCAGAGATGGTCTCAACCCAACCAGACCAACATAAGAGTGAGAGGAGGAGTCTTTCTCCAGGAGAAGATAGCTGACCCTGAGGCCCTGAGCAAGTCTTTTACCCAGTGCCTCAGTTTCCTCCTGAATAAAGAAGAGGATGGCTTCCACTCTGGGAGTTTGATTCTAGCTTCCCCAAGTAGCCCAAGGTGGGAGGATCAGGATAAGGGTGGGTCTCTGCCTAGAAGGCATTTGTATCCTGCATCTAAGCATCCCTTTCCCTAACTCTGACCTGCCTTCTATTCCCTCATGAACACCCCGGCCACCTGCTCACCACCCTCCCCCTCCCTACAGGTCGGTGGACTTCCTCCTGGACTCCAGCCTGCGCAAGCTCTACCCATCAGTGGGAAAGCCCAGCTCCTCCTGACCACATGCTGGTACCTGGCCTGTGCATCGGCCTCCTCCTGCTTCATGTCAATCAACCTCCCACTCCTGCCAGGGGATGTGGATGCCTGACTCCCTGGGGTACAGAGACCCTGGCACCTGAGTGGTTTTGAGCCACATGGAAGCTTAGAGACAAAAGCTTCAAGAAGCAGTGGCTGCAGTGAGTCACAGACAGGCAGGACCCGAACCCTGACTGCTTCCCTAGAATCCATGATACTGACTGGAAATGGACCCTGGGTGGGCCTGGCCCTGTCTTTTGACAGGAAAGTTACATCCTCCCATGGAGGATGAGAGACTGAGGCTCAGGGAGGGCAAAGTATAGGCCCAAGATCGCTGGGCAAGCTGGGCACCCAGGTGCTTGATGGAGTCACCCCACGGTGGCACAGCTGGACAAGGAGCAGCAGACAACTCAGGGAGAAACTCAGGAGTGCAGCAGCAGGGACACCTCAGGACAGATTCTCAGGCCCTTCCCTGACCCAATAAATCCTGAAGAAGTTGTTTTGTCTTCATTTCTGTTTGGGATGAACAGGGGTGTGGTGGTGGGGAGGAGGGATGGGTAGTGGCTTCTCTACCCATCAGTGCTCCCCTGCAGGTGCCTAGACTCCCACATTGGTGCTGCCAGCCTCCTTTGGGGTAGGCATTACCCTTTACTTTCCCGCCTCAGCATCCCAAACTGCTGGGATTATAGGAATGAGCCACTGCACTCAGCCTGGCATTGCCCTTATTTTGCAAGCCTCCTAAAGCCCCAACCCCTCTGGTAGAGCAGCCTGTTGGGCAGATAGTACCTGAGCCTGAAGGTGTCCAAGATGGTGGTGGCAGCCCCATGGGAGGGTCACATGAGACCTCCTTATGAGGGGACTCAGCAGCCTGGAGAGAAGGAAGTGACCGGGGGGCTTTTTCCACTCGGAATCGGGGAATGGCCTGTTTTCCTTGTGGCTTCGCCTGAGCCGCTGGGCTCGAGAGTGCTAAAGGGGGTCACTCCTCTTTGATCCTGGGCCAGTCCCCTCAACAGCTCAGAGAGATAGAGAGGTGGGAACACATGGCTGAAGCAGACCCGGGTTCCTCTCAGCCCTGCCCGAGCCCCAAATTAGCTCCAGCCAAGGCTCTGGCCGCACCCCTTGGCCAGGTGCAGCCAGGTGGGCTGACCCTGCCCTGGTGGGACTTGCCAGCACCTGGGCTGGGACTTTGAAGGGCTGCAGGGCTGGGAGGCGGTGCTGCCAGCAAGATAGGATGGGGGCTCTGGGGTGGTGGCCCCTGCTGCTCTGGGGGTGTCCGTGGCTACAGGATGAGTCTGATGTGGGATGTGCCTTTTTCTGCTACTCTTCTCGTCCCACACTGGCCAGGTCCTCTTCCCAAGCCCCTATGGCCTCTGCCCAATCACCTGCTGCTCCCTCCCAGCTCCCTTAAAGGCTCTAAGCCCCGCCCCATTATCTAGCCCCTAACCCCCATCCCCCATTTCCCATGTGAGCTGGCACTCACATCCTTCTCCAGCCCAGCATTTTCCCAGCTCATCTCCCCGGGCGGTCGCAGCTGCATCCCTATGACATCTGGCATCTATCACCAATTCCTTGCCCACTCACTCTCCACCTTCCACTCTACGGGCTCTCCCTGAAGCTGGGAGCTGCCCGGGCCACACGCAGGCTTTGTGCTCGTGGGCACTCAGCCTTGTCCTCCCCATCACCTGCCCTCCTGCGGCTCTGTGCCCCTCCCCACGACGCACCGTTCCTCAGGTGCAAATCCTCTTCCTCTTGGCCAGCTATGAGCATCCTGCAGAACCAGCTCCAGTGCCCCTTCTGTTGTTGCTTCTTACTATGCCCTACTATGGGCCCCTTCTACCCTTGACTGCCCTGGTGGTGCCTTGTAGGGAACTACTGGAGTGCAGGTTTGCAGATGCTTGGTACATAGTAGGTGCTCACATAAGGGGCTTTCAGGCAATCCCAGGCCAGGCTGATGGGGATGAGGTCAGTGGACAGCCTGTCTGTAGTGGGAAACACCACCATCCCCCACCCCAACTTTACCCTGCTCAATAATTTTTTTTTTTGACATGGAGTCTTGCTCTGTCACCCAGGCTGGAGGGCGGTGGCACAAACTTGGTTCGTGCAACCTCTGCCCCCTGGGTTCAAGCAATTTTCCTGCCTCAGTGTCCTGAGTAGCTGGGACTAGAGGTGCATGCCACCACGTCCAGCTAATTTTTGTATTTTTAGTAGAGACGGGGTTTCACTATGTTGGCCAGGCTGGTCTTGAACTCCTGATCTCAAGGGATCTGCCCACCTTATCGTCCCAAAGTGCTGGGATTTTAAGTGTGAGGTCACCTGAGGTCAGGAGTTCAAGGCCAGCCTGACCAACATGGAGAAACCCTGTCTCTACTAAAAATGCAAAAAATTAGCCGGGCGTGGTGGCACATGTCTATAATCCCAGCTACTCAGGAGGCCGAGGCAGGAGAAGTGCTGAACCCAGGAGGTGAAGGTTGTGGTGAGCCGAGATTGTGCCACTGCCCTCCAGCCTGGGCAAGAGCAAAACTCTGTCTCAAAAAAAAAAAAAAAAAAAAAAAGGAACAAAAGGATAACTACTCCACAGAGCAGCAGTATGGGCTGCTTGACTGAGTATACTTACAGTTATTTCTTGATCATGTAACTGTCCAGCGGGTTCACTTTGCCCACTACGTAAACAGAGCCCATTGATCAAGACAGGGGAATTGCAACAGAGAAACAATTCATGCAGAACTGACTGTGTGGGAGACAGGAATTTTATTATTACTCAAATCAGCCTCCCTGAGCATTCAGGGATCAGAGTTTTTAAGGATAATTTAGTGGGTGGGGGCTGCCAATGAGTCAGGAGTGCTGACTGGTTGGGTGGGAGATGAAATCATATGGAGTGGAAGCTATCCTCTTGCACTGAGTCAGTTCCCAGGTGGGGGCCACAAGATCAGATGAGCCAATTTATTGATCGGTGTGGTGCCAGGTGGTCCAAGTGCAGGGGCTGCAAAATATCTCAAGCACTGATCTTAGGCTTTACAATAGTGATGTTACCCCCAGGAGCAATCTGGGGAGGGTCAGAATCTTGTAGCTTCCAGCTGCATGACTCCTAAAGCACAATTTATAATCGTTTGGCCAACTTGTTAGTCCTACAAAGGCACAAAGGCAGTCCAGTCCCCAGGCAAGAAGGGAGTCTGTTTTGGGAAAGGGCTGTTATCATCTTTGTTTTAAACTATAAACTAAGTTCCTCCCAAATTAGTTCAGCCTATACCCAGGAATGAACAAGGACAACTTGGAGGTTAGAAGCAAGATGAGGCTAGGCATGGTGGCTCATGCCTGTAATCCCAGCATGTTGGTAGGCTGAGGCAGGCAGATCACTTGAGGTTGAGGTCAGCAGCTTGAGGCCAGTCTGGCCAACCTGATGAAACCTCGTCTCTACTAAAAATACAAGAATTAGCTGGGCATGATGGCGGGCACCTGTAATCCCAGCTACTTGGGAGGCAGAGGCAGGAGAATCACTTGAACCTGGCAGATGGAGCTTGGAGTGAGCTGATTGGGCCACTGCTCTCTAGCAAGGGCGACGGAGCAAGACTGTCTCCAAAAAAAAAAGTTTGAGACCAGCCTAGCCAACATGGAGAAACCCTGTCTCTATTAAAAATACAAAAAAAATTAGCCAGGCATGGTGGTGTGTGCCTGTAATCTCAGCTACTCGGGAGGCTGAGGCAAGAGAATCACTTGAACCTGGGAGACCAAAGAAAAAAAAAAAAAACCGTAAAACATGGATAAACAATTACTCATCAGTGTTCTTGGAAAGAGGTGGGCAATTCTTTGACTGACGGTTCCTTTCCTTTTTAGGCCATATAGGGTAACTTCCTGATGTTGCCATGGCGTTTGTAAATGGTTGTGGTGCTGGCAGGAGTGTCTTTTAGCATGCTAATGTATTATAATTAGTGTATAATGAGCAACGAGGATGACCAGAGGTCACTTTCATCACCATCTTGGTTTTGGTGGGTTTCAGCTGGCTTCTTTACTACATCCTGTTTTTGTTTTTCTGTTTTAGAGATGGAGTCTGGCTCTGTCACCCAGGCTGGAGTGCAAAGGTGCTATCTCGGCTCACTGCAACCTCTGCCTCCCGGGTTCAAGGGATTCTCCTGCCTCGGTCTCCCAAGTAGCTGGGATTACAGGCATGCACCACCACATCCTGCTAATTTTGTATTTTTTTTTTTTTTTTTTTTGAGAGAGACGGAGTTTCCCTCTTGTTACCCAGGCTGGAGTGCAATGGCGCGATCTCGGCTCACCGCAACCCCTGCCTCCCGGGTTCAGGCAATTCTCCTGCCTCAGCCTCCTGAGTCGCTGGGATTACAGGCACGCACCACCATGCCCAGCTAATTTTTTGTATTTTTAGTAGAGACGGGGTTTCACCGTGTTGACCAGGATGGTCTCGATCTCTTGACCTCGTGATCCACCCGCCTCGGCCTCCCACAGTGCTGGGATTACAGGCTTGAGCCACCGCGCCCGGCCTAATTTTGTATTTTTAATAGAGCGGTCAGGCTGCTCTCGAACTCGTTGCCTCAAGTGATGCACGTGCCTCAGCCTCCCAAAGTGCTGGAATTACAGGTTTGAGCCACTGCGCCTGGCCACCACATCCTGTTTTATCGGCAAGGTCTTTGTGACCTGTATCTTGTGCCCGCCTCCTATCTCATCCTGTGACTAAGAATGCCTAACCTCCTGGGAGTGCAGCCCAGTAGGTCTCAGCCTTATTTTACCCAGTCCCTATTCAAGATGGAGTCACTCTGGTTTGAAAGCCTCTGACATTAGGATTGGGGAAGACACTTGACTGGTAGCATCAGAGGTTGGACATTATACACAGGGACAGGATGACATGGGCACCCAACTGCTGTGGGATAGAGGGATAGAGAGGACAGAGTCAACGTCCTGTTGGTTCTAGTCTGTTTCAGCACCCGTCACTTGGAGCAGGCCCCTCCTACTTTTCTTAGTTCCTACTCTCACATCTATCATCCTCTTCGCTTCTCCCAGGGGATTCATGTCAAATGGTCTCTCCCGGCCATTTTGATATCTCCTCTCCAGTCCTGCTCACTCTACTTTTAAAGTGCCAAACAAATCCCCTCCCTCTTTCTCAAAGCACGGTGATGTGCCACTGAGCCCTGCCCAGCACCTCAGTGGAGGGGGCCTGCTGGCTCTTTCTTTTGCTCCCAGATCCTGGGGTGGGAGAGAGTGTTTGATGGACTGGAGTTGGGGCAGGGTTGGAGAGCTGCAGCCACCTACCGCTGCTGCACCCCAGGAATACAGGATGTGGACATGGTACCCTCTGCCCAGGTGATAATCATGAGCTTCCCAAAACATTCTTTTTTTGTTTTTTTTTTGAGACAGAGTTTGGCTCTTGTTGCCCAGGCTGGAGTGTAATGATGCAGTCTTGGCTCACCGCAGCCTCCACTGCCAGGGTTCAAGTGATTCTCCTGCCTCAGCCTCCCGAGTAGCTGGGATTACAGGCATACACCACCA